CGGTTTTTTCACCCTAAACTCAAACCCGACCCGAATATCACACTTAAAAAACCCGTCCCGAATATCACATTTAAAAAACCGACCCGACTCGACCCGAATATCACACTTAAAAAACCCGACCCGACCCGAACAAAATAAAGTTTCACCCGACCCAAACCGAATATATGAATTAGAAATCCGACCCGACCCGAAATAATAAAAAAAATTATTTTTATTCAATAAAAACAATGACTTAATTGAAAAAAATTATATATAGAGGGGTATTATTGTAATTATTCCTAAATATATAAAGTAAAATTATATATATTTTCGGGTCGGGTATTTTTCACCCTAAACCCGAACTCGACCCGACCCGAATATCACACTTAAAAAAACCAACCCGACCTGACCAAAATAAAGTTTCACACGTCCCGACCCGGATATATGAATTAGAAACCCGACCCGACCTAAAATGATAAAAAAATATTTTTATTCAATATATGAATAAATTATCAAAAAATTGATGAGGGTAATATGATCAAATTTTAATTCAAACATAGCTTCTAATCCGGACAAGAAAAATAAAAGCTTCCCCTCAAATTCAAAAACCAACAGTTTTTCAATGGTTGAGGGACAACTCGTTCGAGTCTCAATTTCTGATTCAGCCCTTAACAAAAAACATTCTAAAGGTGATCATACAGCAGTCAATATAGTTGAGAAAAGTATGAAAACACCTAGTGGGTCGGGTGTGAAAGTGGGTCACTATAAATCTGATGGAGGTTTATCTAATAAGGAGAATGTGATTCGTGGTCTGTAAATACAAAAACGGAATTAGAATAAATCCAGTAATTATCTAGTGTTCGGAACTTTGGTACAGAATATGAGTGTGCAAAATGGTAACAACCAAATGGAGGGGCGCTCGTGTTTAGGTGATCCACCCGATAATGAAAAATCTGTGTGGATGGACGATTCCTCTGAAGAGGAAGAAATGGTGGAATATTTGAACATGAAGGATATAGCTACAGAGATAGTTCGCAAGGGCCCCGGGGTTAAAATAAAGCATTAACGTTCTTTCTCCCCTTTTCTTTTTCATCTTGATGAAGTTATTTTTCTAGAATTGCCAAGGCGCTACTAGCCTTACTTTTTACAGATTTTTTAAATCCTTTATTCGTGAGCATCCTCCTTGTGTGGTTGCTCTCTTTGAACCGCAGATTAGTCGTGTTCTTGCTGGTCGAGTAATCTCTAAACTTGGCTTTGATCATTATTTTCGTGTTGAAGCTCATGCTTTCAGTGGAGGTATTTGATTACTTTGGAATGACTCGGTTGTGTTGGAAATTCTTCACATTGCTAATCAATTCATTAATGACAGGGCCCGTCATATGAATTGGAACTCTTGGATATAGTTTACTGCAATCTATGCTAGCCCGTATACTTCTAAAAGGAAACACCTTTGGTATCATCTTGAATCTCTTGACCCTGATGATTCGTTACCGTGGATTGTTGAGGGTGATTTCAATGCGGTTTTATCTGCTGATGAGCGTATTAGGGGTTCAATCAACCATGGTAATGGTTGCTTGATTTCGGATTTCATTTTTAATAGTGGCCTCCTGGATTGAACCCCTAATACGCTCATCAGCTGCACATACGAGGTGTTGGTATAAGAATGGTTTTGAAGCTAAATGAGTTAGAATGTTTATAGTTGAAGCTTAAGGACTAATTTGTAAATACCTTAAATACAATGACTAAAATTAAGATTTTAGCATTTAACTTTTTCAACCAATTTTTCGTTGGAATTAATTGTTTTGTTTTTTTTCCTTCGAACTCTCCACCGAAATTTGCAGAACAATTTGACAAATTGTGCAGCCACCTTATTTGACTTTCAACACCTTATACCTGTTGGCCGTTGGATTCCTTTTCGCACATCTACGACTAGTCTAGCATTTCCCATCTTTTCTTCGCAGGTGACTTGATTTTGTTTGCGGAGGCATCTCTAAACTAAATGTTTGTGATTCGATCTGTGTTGAATACCTTCTGTACTTTTTCTAGCCATAAAGTAAGCCCCACGAAGACTAATATCTATTATTCGAAGAATGTTCCCCCTTCTAGTCGACATGATATTAATTCTGGTTTTGGATTTACTGAGGTTATGGATTTTGGTAAATATCTGGGAGTTTTGCTTATTCATCGTGATACATGCATCACAATGCTCACATCAAAGGAAGAAATAATAACTCTTCCAAATGATCTACTCGTCCAAGCATGGGAAAAGAAGATCAAACAGAAAGAAAACTTACGACGACTTTTTGAATGGATCATGATCTTATTTAGTCAAGATATCTTCTGGAGATACGTCGTCTGTCTCTTATCTTTCCAAAGGTTTCTTGAATCGTATCAATCCGATATCGGGAACTCAAGATATGGTTATTTTACTGAAGACGGTGTATGCAAAAAATCCTATACGGGATTAATACAGGATTTTGTAAATATTACGAATTTTCAATATTTTTATTGATTATTTGTAATATAACTTAATATAGGATGATGCATTATCTTTTAGGATTAGATTTATTATTTTATTATGAATTAAGGTTGGGTTAAAAATATTATCTTTAGTTATTATTATTTTATTAGAAATTAGAGTTAAAATATGTTTAGTTTATTATTATTTTATTCATTTATTATTTAGGACCTTTAGAACTCAATCCCTATATAAAGAATGTTTCATTAAACTTTGTAATTCAAGATTTCTTTGATTAATAATACAACGAGAGTTCGTTTTTGCAAGTGCTGATTGCCTTGTGCCTTCGAAGTTTCTTCTCCTTGAGTTCTTTCAAGTTCTTGTGAGGGAGATTAATCTTCACACTCCAATTTGCCTTTTCATCTCGACTAGGAGGGTTGGTTAGAGCCATATTATCGTGTTTGCCTTTTCATTGCAACTAGGAGGGCTCGATAGGACATTATCCATCGATTTTCCACATATCCATCCACACCATCAATCATCTTTACCGTTCACCTTCATAAAGGAGATCTTTTGATTTCCTGGTTATCTTATTTTATTTGCAATGCCTTTATTTTTTTCTTTATCTTGTTTTAATCTTGTCTCTTACATTGTTTCTAGCACCTAAAAGAAACTCTAAGAACCCTACTTGCTACCGCCACCTTCCCCTATTCGTTCCCCATTGTTCTTCATTGAGTCTAGAGCTTTCTAGGTTTGATTCTTCAACAAGAGCAACGTTCATCAATCCACCACCGCTTCCCTATCACATCGTCGTGTGACAATGAATTCTTACTCTTATTTACTTCATATGGTTCAACAAAAATTAAGTTGGTTGGAAAGCCAGTTTCATTTCTCTTGTTGGTCGAATTACTTTGGCTAAGTCTATCTTGGCTGCGATTCCGCCCTACACTATGCAATCGTCTTTACTTCTTAAAAAGACTTATTTTGACTTGGAGCGTGTGTTTGTCGTCATTTTACTATTGATAGTAGTTGTTTATTTTGCTAAGCGTCTACTGGAGATATCAATCACGTGCACCGTATGCATCCTGTGGCATTTGCGACCTGGTACGGGCTTGTAAAACAGCCGAGACTTTGTGAATTCTTCACGCTCAATATCAAAACATGGATCGAAGGAACTTGTTGTCTCCTAGCTATTTCGCTATCAACAGCAGTGGCTCTGATTTATTGTTTGGTGCGATTATTGGAACTTGTGGCTTTAACGTAATGCTCTTGTCTTTGAATCCCCGCTTGATGACAACGACTCGGTGCTTGTGCGTAGCTACCGTTTGCTTTCTTTGTCTCGGCTTGTGTTGACTCAGCCTGGTAATAAGGCTACCAGTTCAATTAGTGGAGTGCAAGAGGTGGGTAGATGGTTACGGCCTGTGGCAGGAAGGGTGAAAGTTAATTCTGACGGTGTTTGCCGTCGAACTGGTAAACAAATATACTGCGTGTGATGGTGTTCTTCGGGGTCACAATGGGGAGTGGTTGATTGGCTTCAGTAAGTTTATTAGAACTTGCTCTCCGTTGGAAGCGGAATTATGTGGTCTGTACCAAGGCCTAGTTTGTGCTTGAAATAAAGGTTATGAACATATCATTGTTGAGACGGATAGTATGGATTGGACACCTTAAATATCATTACCGGATATCGGACCAATAGTGTGGGCAGTTTTTTGCTGTCGCATATCTCGGAATTCAGTGACTGCGATGGGACTCTCCAGTTTCAGAAAATTCATCAATCTGGAAATCGAGTTGCTGATGCGCTTGCAAATTTACCGACTGGAATGGATTTTTAATGAGACTGGTAATTTTCCCCGTGCATGATTTTTTTTTTCTAATGTTATCCTACCTTCTTCACACATAAAAAAAATTAAGGTTGAAACATATATTTTGGCCAAACAAGTCAAGTATAGCTCCTAGTTACACCACATCAAATTTCCAACAGCACTGGACATACACTTCAATCATGTGGTTGCGGTGGAAGACCATATATTCCAAGTCCATTTCATCACGTTGAAACTTGTGGTTTATATTATACGAAATTCCAACATTGTTTATTTTTTCTAATTTTAAATATCTAGGAACATTTTATTTATTTATTTATTTTTATTATTTCATATATTTGGTTTTAGTCAATTAATTTTAATTATATTATGTTAAAGTTAGTTATGAAAAAAAAATTAATTTACTTTTTCATTCATAATATTAATATTTTTATTTAAAAGATATAATATATTATTTTATTAGACTAACTGATAATTTGATAATAAAAAAATTGTAATGCACATAATTACTATTTCTCTTGAGGAACGCGTGTTACCAGATAAATGATCGGTGATGCCAAATAAATTGAAAATGTTTTAAGCGTGGAATTTTCACTTGAACGCAATTCCACGTATGCACTTCCTATTTGAACAACAATAATTCAAAAAATGAATATTACAAAAACATGTGACTTAGCAATAGTGACATCTTATGCCATATATTTGTCCTTCCAACGCGCCTCATTTCTTCAACTATATAACAAAAGGGCCAAAACCTTCTTTCTTCAACCTCTCTCTCTCTCTCTTCTTTGAAGTTTTTTGAAACATGTCCATGGCGAGAGCTCTTTCTCACATCAATGGCAACTCAGTGTTTCATGTTCCTTGTAGACCAAAACCCAAACGTCAGTGTCCCTTACAATTGCCTCGTAGGGTTTTCAAGGTTACCGTGTCTTGTAACCAGTCTTATTGGGACTCCATAAATTCCGACATCAAAGCCCATCTCAATCGAGCCATTCCAATCCGAGAACCTCTCACCGTTTTCGAGCCCATGAACGGTTTGACGTTCGCCGCCCCACGAAGCATCGTGCCGGCGTTATGCGTGGCTGCCTGCGAGCTCCTCGGCGGTCATCGGGACGACGCTTTACCAACAGCATCCGCACTTTGGCTCATGTATTCGGCTTCATTCACACACGAACACCTTCCGTTAACCCAAAGTTGTAGGCCCAAATCCGATGTTCGACATCTCTACGGCCCTAACATAGAGTTGCTCATAGGGGATGCAATGATACCATTCGGGCTCGAGTTATTGGCTAAATCAGACGATCGGACTCAAAACATCTCGACTCGAATTTTACGCGTGATGATCGAGATCACACGCGCTATAGGTTCACAAGGTATGATATACAAACAATATCACGATGTAGAACGTCATCGATCAAACAATAACAAGTCATACCACGTCGAAAAACTCGAAAAATACGAAGGCACGTTACATGCTTGTGCGGCCGCCTGTGGGGCGATATTAGGAGGCGGAAGCGAAGAGGAGATAGAGAAAATGAGAAGGTATGGTCTATACGTAGGAAAAATACAAGGTATGGTAAGTAGAGCTGAAAGAAACGACAAAGAATTGAACAAATCGGTGGAAGAGATGAGGAGATTGGCTACCAAAGAATTGAGTGGTTTCAATGAGGCAAAGGTCCAAGCAATATCTACTTATTTTGAGTCTGATTTCATGTATGCTCAGTTCTAAGGCAAAATCAAGTATTTAAGTTCTAAGGCAAAAGTCCACGCCGCCCTTGGGTCCGGGATCCGGGCCCAGTACTTGAAATCTTGGCTAAATTATTGAGGGCATCTATTACATTAGATAAACTCAGTTAGAAGGCTAAGTCATTGTTAGGTTTCTTTCAATGTTAAACCATAAGTCTTTGGAGAACCTGTTTTTCCTTTGACAATTACCTCTGTTAATAGTAAAACATGAGTTTGGTGAATGTGAAAAAAATCTCGCACGTGATTCAAAAGCTGAGACTCTTATCCACAAAATGTTGACTATTTGGATCACTGCATTACCTAAAAAATTCAATTTAATATACAGAAAATAATTATATTATATTATGTTGAGCTTCAGTACATTTAACCTAGTTTATCCTCTAAGCTTGCTTCAATTCCACGGCTCTAAAAGTATTTCACACACTGAAGTAGAAAAGGTTCCATCTAAAACACATGTCCATGAGCATCGATTTCATTCGAGCCCCTGTATACCAACACTAGGGTTGTTAAAAACTACCCGATCCGCCGATCTGGAACTAAAATAACGGGTAATTTAGCTAAAAAAAAAATTATCCGACAGGTCGGGTACCCGATTCGACATTTCCTGGGTAGGCCCGGGTCAAAAATTGAAGTTTTTCGGATATCCGGTTACTCGAGTATATATATATATATATGTATATAATTAATTATTTATATTATGAATTATTAGATTTTATATTTCGAACTTTTATATTTTATGTTCGAATGTTGGAGTATGTAATTCGAAGTTTCGAACATTTAAATTTATATATATATTTTTTTAAACTAATAATTTGAAAATGAAAAAAAAAACCAAGTACCCAATACATCCGGATCAGAACATGGACTGAAAAATCATCGATCTGGATTCTGGATGTTGCAAGTACCCGATAATCGGGTACTCGAAAACCCAAATATCCGAATTTACACACCCCTAACAAACACTATACTAAGTTACTAACACTGAAAACAGAAAGAACTCTTTCCACAAATCACATTTATGAACCTACACCAATGTGGAGAGGGACTAAACATGTACTTAAAATCATTATTCAAGGAAACATGTTCTTGTCAAAACTACATTCCTCATCTTCTTTCAAATCCCTCTCAGTGATAAATAACTTAATATTTTTTAAGTACATTTCCAGTTTAAGAATCTGTCTATGTAAAAAATTTCTCCTAATAAATTTACACATAAAAATTTATGATACAAATTGATCCGAATTAATTATGACAAAATTTTAAAATATTGAGAAGAAAATTCTCTCTCCCTCTCTCTCTCTCTATGAGAAATTAGAAGTTGAATCATATTAAATTAACTAAAAAACTTAATTTAAATAATAAACAACTTAATATTTTTTTATGCACAATACTCTATAAAAAAATCTCTTATAGTAAATTCACCTACCAAAACTTGCCACGCGAATTGATCCGAGAAACTCTCTCTCTCTTGACGAAATCTTAAAATTGACCAGATTAAAGGGACCAAAACCAGAGAGAACGCAAAACATCATGTCGTTTTGAGCTACTGTGTCCCCTTAGCTTCAACCTCCAATGCCGCAACGTCCTTGATTGAAGTTAACAAAAGCCAAAAAGACCGCAGCTTTAAGAGCAGAGATGTCAAAGTTGTTCTCCAGAATTGCTGGTTTTTCAACAACAGAACATTCATAGGTGTAGATAAAGCTGGGAACCGTTACTTCACTAGAAAAGAAAAGATTGATGGTGTTTGTAAGTGGGTTTCATTCCCCTTTTCTTTTTATTTTTTTTTTCATTCTTAATTTCGAATTCTCAATTTTATAGATATGGGTATTTGTTAATGATCCTCTATATGGATATCTCCTTGAGGTTCTTTTGAATTTGATTTTTGCCTGTGGTATGGATTTTCACATTCATAGGTGTAGATAAAGCTGGGAACCGTTACTTCACTAGAAAAGAAAAGATTGATGGTGTTTGTAAGTGGGTTTCATTCCCCTTTTCTTTTTATTTTTTTTTTCATTCTTAATTTCGAAATTCTCAATTTTATAGATATGGGTATTTGTTAATGATCCTCTATATGGATATCTCACTTGAGGTTCTTTGAATTTGATTTTTGCCTGTGGTAATGGATTTTCTATCTGGGATTTTGAAGACTTGTATGAACACATGTGGATTTTGGATTGCATATTGTGTTTTTTTTTCAATGGTTGCAAAATAGTTAGTAATTTGATATCTGAATTCTTCTTTGATAAACTCTTATGGTAGCTTTTTATTTGTTTAGAGATCATCTCTTCGTTTTATGAAATAATGTTGGGAAAGACTTGATTTTAGGTTGAAATTGACCCTAATTTGAATTTTATGCTCGAGAAAAAAAATTCTCTGTAGTGATTTTAGGTCTATATACATTTATTTGTTGTTGTTAAGCTGGATTTTCGTTCTCGTTTTTACATATGTTTTAAAACTATGTTGCTATTTAGCTATGAAGTCTTGGTCTGAATTTGAGTTAAATCATAATGATGTTTCAAATAGGGAAAGAAAACCGAATTTTATTGATGTAGAATTTCAGTTGCCGATACTATTATGTACCTTTGACATCGTAGTCTCTGTCTAATGTATTAGTAAAGGAGAAAAAGATGGGTGGAATTCAAAGGAGAGCAAGATCAACTTCTATCCCAGGTAAGCTTTTCAATGAAAGTTGCTCGCATGTTAACCGTGTGGTTCGGATCCGTTAATCATACCATAGAGTAGACAAGATACTCTCAAAGTAACTATTATAACATGTACTGCATTGTTTGTTTTCGATACTTATGGTTTCTTGCAATTTGATTGTTCTAGTAGAATGGATATGTTGGTTGAATGGGCAAGGAAAGGTAGCTCCAACTCCAGAGGTACTTACAAACGAATCTTCGTTGCATACTATAAGAATGCCTTTACCTGTCCACTTTGCAAAGCAGTGAAACTTTTCCTCATCAAATGATATACTGGACCGTGATTTTACATTCAAATCAGATTTGACAGTTTATTGTTTCTATCTTCAGGAAATGATGGAACTTGAAGCAAGGTGTGAACGTGTTCGGCTTAATGTTGCCCGTATGTATTACTACTGATAATAATTTACATGTCCTGATTATGTGTTCTCTGATAAAAGAATTTCTTGCCTTGTCCTTTTTGAAAAAGTTTTGAAGAAGGAAGAAGAAGAAAGGAAAGCTAGAGAAGGCAATAAAAAGGCCGTGAGCTCGGGTTAGTGTTTAGTTACTGCTCTTGTGTCTCCTCATCTCCCGTTGCTATATTTACTTGTCCGGTTGTTGACAATTATACTGTAATTTATAGGTAAAGTCGGGGGTCCAGACTTAAAAAGCTTCATTCGGCAATTTCAATCTGCTTCAAAAGGTATTATATTCGTTTTTACCTAACCATGCATCTCTTCTGAAACTAAATATAATTTATCAGAGCCCTGCTACTACCCCTTTTTTCATTCCGATGTTTTTACACGCAGGTGAAAAAGTTGAAAGAGAATCGGATGAGAGGTGGGTGAAACAAACTGTTTCATGACATGATCATTAACATTGCTGTTGAAATACAACTTGTTGAGTTGTTTATCATTGCGGCTTTATCTTTACCCTAATCCGATTCCTATGCCGGATTCCCCTTTCGTTTTTACTACCACTGCAGTCTGCATTGCACCAGCGACTGTCGTTTTGTTTCTATTTTTTGTGTATCTGGTAAAATGAGTTGCCATTGGAACTTATTTGATCTTCTTTTTATTGTATCATGAAAATTGCTTGATAATGTGAATGCTTCGGCATCACACCTCGTATTTACAGGCCCAAAGAGACGCATGAAGAGAAAGAAGAGCCGTTTCCAGAGTAAGTTTCAGACCCTTTTCGGAAAATATAAACTTTTTACATAGACCGGCTTAAGTTACGTGTTCATTTGTCCTCCGAACTATCTTTTCAGGTCTTCAGAACCAACAGGGTCCGGCACATCCTATAAGCCAGGAACATGGCAACCACCGTCATGACGATAATCAATGCATGTTAAGAGATATTGCCAGCACCATAACACCTACAGTTCCTACGCTTTGGTCCGTGGCTACTCTGATATAAACCGCCATTGTTGTCTGGTTAAGCCTGAACTCTGGCACACTAAACGCATTCTTTAGCTGATTGCATTTGAAACTGATATTTGATTCTGAGTTTCGATCGGTCAAAGTTTATGTTCGGATTTTATCCATCGATGTATGATTTTGGGGGTAACCTTAAACCTTTTTTGCATCATGTTGTAGAGGGGATGAAATCTTGATTAGTGTTCTTTCGGTCACTTCTCTTGGAGCAATATAAACAATGTCATTCACTCATCTTAGGTTTGCTCAAAAGAACAGTCCAAAGTTAGCAATACTTTGCTGCCTAATCCGAATAGGATAACTGTATGTTTATATAGAGATGATTCTGTTAATCTAATTTATTTTATTTACATAATTCGAATCTTTAATCTTATTAAAGATATAGTTATTTATTTTATTAAACCAATTGATAATAAATATTAGGATAAATTATGCATTTATTTAAATTATCAATTTTGATCCATTTTAGTATATAAACTTTTATTTTTTTTTCCAAAATCATACATAGTTTTAGTCTTTTGTTTCATTTTAGTATCCTATTAAAAACATAATGTTATTTTTGGGGATAGAAAGTTTAGGTATAAAACGGATCAAAATTGATAGTTTAGGAATTAATGGGTTAAGTTTTTAATGGTAAGGTACTAAAATGAAAAAAAAATTAAACATTAGGTGTGATTTTAAAAAATTGAAAGTTTAAATATTAAACGAATTAAATTAATAATTTAGGTATTAAAGGTGTAATTACCATAAATATTAATAATGATTTTGATTACAGAATTATTCACGATTTTCTTTCGACCATTAAAATAAAATCTTCCAGAAAGTTGTCACTGTCGATCCTAATTCTAAGAATTAATCTCTCTACATTTTTTATCATTAATACGGGGGGTTTATTTTCAAGTCGGTCCTTGAACAGTATTATAATGTTAGTCAATCCTTTAAATAAAAATATATATTTAGATATAAATTGAAGAATAAATTATTATTTGGTAGTCATCATTTTAAATAAAAATACAAATTGAGTGCTTTGGGCACTGACTTGGAGATTTTTTTTGGTTTTGAGTCTTAGTATGGTTCAATTCATTTTAGACATATTTATTTAAAATAATCTATTCATAATACATTAAAATAAATTAATTTAGAATTGTATAATATAAATTAATTGTTTGCATTAATTTAGAATGATCAAATAATATAAATTAATGATTGAGATTAAAAGTTAAAATAAAATGATTTTATGGAAAAATAAAAAAATGAATCTTATATCACACACAAATATAAAATAATAATAATAATAATAATCCTAAATTAATGTAATTTTTATTGTATAAGTAGATCTCTCTCTATCTATATATATATATTATTTGTCATTTGATTTCAATAGATTATCATTAGGTCTCTGTCCCACTTTTATTTGCTAATAAAATCAAAATTAAACACCGTACATCTTGCTTATCCATAAGATTTATCTTTGTTTTTACAATGATTTAAGTTTTTTTTTTAATTTTTGGATAAAGTACCTTTGAGGTCACTGAAGTATAGTTAAGTAATGATTTTTGGTCAATAAGCTTATAAAATTACAAAATGATTATTAAATTTATTGAATTATTATAAAGTGGTCATTAAAACTATTAATCGTTACAAAATAGTCATTAAGTGTATCAAATTTCATCATTAATATAATATCATGATGACCATTCTATAATGATCTTATAAATTTAATGATAAAAAATTATTCAAATATAATTCAATGACTTGTGATATAGTTTATCATCATTAATATAATATCATGATGACCATTCTGTAATGATCTTATAAATTTAATGATAGAAAATTATTCAAATATAATTCAATGACTTGTGATAGTTTACTCTAATTTTTTTCATCTAACCGGTTTTTATTTCATTTTAGTATCTAAACTTTTTTTAAAAAAATATGCCTAACATTTAGTTTATATTTCATTTTGGTAACCTACTAGAAAAAACTTAATGGTGATATAGATATGTCACCGTAAGATAATGTCACATCATCATTGAAAAAAATATATTCCTATTTATTTTTTAACGACTGAGTATCGAATTGAAACCTAACTAAACGTTAAGCATACTTTTGGAAGAAAAAAAAGTTTGGGGTACCAAAATATAACAAATAATTTAAATACTAAATATGTAGTTTTACCCTTTCTTTCAAAAATAAAATCTTATTGAAGTGTCCACCTTATTAATTAGGATCACATCACATCAATTGTCAAAAGGTAATTAACCTGTAGGAACAGAATAAGGGGGGTTAATAGTATCCTTAATTTACATTACATGTGTTGATTGTCGTGCCCGTTGTATGAATTATAGATCTGTAATGGGATAGCATGAACAATAGCCAGCTGTTAAAAAACCTTATAATGTATATTATTATTTAATATTGAGTTCGGATTTAATGAAATTTAATTTTAAATTTTTTATAATTTTTAAAATAATTTATTATCTTATTTTGCACGTTGAAAAATAATTAAGATTTTCTGTAGAAAAAAAAATTATGATTAATGAACCATAAATAAGGAGAAAATATCAGTTTTTCGTTGTCCTTTTTCTTTGGTATATTTGCTCAACTTTTTGGAAATATTCTAATCTATATCCCGTAAGTTACAAGAAATTGACTAAAATAACAAGTATTTTATTTTTGTTTTTATGGATAAAAGTATACTAAAGGTCATTGGTCTATGTAAATTTTATATTTTTAGTTAATAATTTTTTAAATGTTATAAATTATTATAAAATTTTCTGAACGGTTATGAAATAGTTTTCTACAACGTTAAAATAGCAATAAATTTTAATAAATTTAAAGGTTATTTTTTAATAGTTTAATAAGTTTAAAACCTATTTTGTGATAATTAGATAAATTTTAATGATTTAAGAACTGTTTGGGAGGTTTAATAATTATTTTATAACATTTAAAAGATTACTTATTAGCACAAATCGAACCATATCAATAATTAAATTTTCAATACGGTTTATCAAAAAAATATTTCAGTTCGTCTAATAAATTTTGGATTAATACTTAATGTTATGAGAATCTATTGAGTATCTTTAGTGGTAACAAAAATGTTATTTTTCTTATAAGATCTAAATCCGAGCAATTACATTTATATGGCATATTTCTATTGTCAACGGTTTATAAAAAATTCTGAATATATAATATTTTATAATCAAATTTTGCTAATAAAATGTTGCGGTTATGACACTATATCTTCAAGTTTCTATTTAGGGTAAACTAGATAAATGATTACGTAATTACGGGTCAGGTGGCAAAATGATTACCATTTTAAATTTGTGACAAGAATACCACTGAATTATTTAAATGTGTTCAAAATAGCCACAAGACGTTGACATTTAACGGAGGAGTTTACGTGATAGCTAAAATAATTGGTATAATTAGGACGTGAGTCCTTGTAAAGTTACGTATTCGTGGCGTTGGCACCATACTTTGTTTTCTTCCATTTTGGTCACTACTTGTGTATGTTTTGTTTCCTCGAATTTTCATTTAATACAATTTGATCATGATTTAGTTTTTAATTTGTCTAATGCCTTAATTTTAGCATAACTATAAAATCTTTTATTCTAGTCATGTATTAAATTTGAAGATTAAATCCCCCCTAGATTTTAGAATTAATCAATTTGATCACCAATATTAACTTTAATTCTTAATTTTTAATTAGGTACTAATTTCTTAATAAATTTATTTCTCCAATAAAATTGTGATACATGCCACAATCTATGATTATAATTTGAATATTAACTATAATATATATATATATATATATTCTAATTTGAATATTAATTTTTTAATGATTATATTTATATGTATATATAATCATTAAAAATAAACATGAAAACAATAAATTTAGTTTAAAAATATTAAAATATTAAATCAATTATAAGTAAACTATTAGATTTAGTTTAGTAATTTAAGTGTTGTCATATTCTCAAGACACGTTCCCTAATTATACACATTTTTTTAACTACCACGTAAACACCTTCGTTAAATAAATATTAACGTCGTGTGTCTATTTTGAACTCATTTAAATAGTTCAGTGGTATTATTGTCACAAAATTAAAAACGGTGGTCATTTCGCGATCTGGTCCATAGTTACGTGGTTATTTATGTAGTTTACCCTTATATTTATTATGATTTAAAATATATTATATGTAATTTGAAAGGATCAATTCTGATTAATTTTAATTGAAGTGATTAGACATCGTATTATTAGTAATTTACATTCAAATAAATTTCAATTATAAGCTTATATTTAAATTGTGTAAGACACAACTTTTTATCCAATTTTTTTTAATTTAAATCCTATCATATATGATATGTCTAAATGTATTTTCCATTTCAATTACAATTATTTATAATATTAATACTTAATTTACAGTCGAGTAAATCTTTAATTTGTATTTATTATTTACATTGTGTATGTGAGTTAGAGAATTGAGAGTAGAAATTAAGCAAAAGCGGGTTGGGGGAAAATAAATTAAATATATTGAGATTGGTCAGTCAGATCCACTTAATGGCACATGTTCCTTGCACTAAATTAAAGGCTCCCCTTTGACAAATAAAAGTAAATTGTTTGGTATTGATGCGACCTACCTTGCTTTATAAAATAACAAAAAAAAAAATCAAAACTCGTGATTTCATTATGAAATTATTAATATAGATTATAGAATTGACAAAATTAAGAGATAAAGCAATGGTAGGATTAATTGTCGGCATACACGACCTCCATTGTGGGATGGGCGATCAACGTGTATGGGACATTCACAGTTTCAAGAACACGTTGGGCGTGCATGGTGACCTACATCAGCTCATTACAGATCGTGGGAACGATATGACGACTTTCTTGGTCACCCGGAACACCTGACGACCTATGTTCTCATTGTAGAAATCACCTTATCCCAATAATTAATCATACTACTACTTTATCTCGTGATTTTTTTCCCAACACATTAACTCGTCAATTTTGTCAAAATTAAATTTCCATTGCCACTACTATTATTAATATTAAATAATTAAGAATAAAATAATAATTGACTTTGACCTTAGCTGTAGTTAGTTATAAACTCAGTATCAATAACCAAAGCTACTTAAATAAAGTAATATATATATATATATTATAATAAAATAAAGGAAAAACAAAAGATGAACAGAAGAATGACCCTTCACGTATCCTATGGCTGCTGCCGACAAAGAATGACCCTTAAAAT